GGTGCCCTGGCAGAGCTGGCAGGGCGGGCAGGCTTCATTCATGTTGGCTGTGGCGGGCTCCTCCTAGTGCCAGGGAACACACTGGGCCAGAAGACCGGTGGAGGCGGCCAGAACTCTACAGGCCTGCTAAAGGGGTCTCGCACCGAACGTGACCCCACCAATGGATTCCTCGTTAGGAGAGCAATCCATTGATGGGGTTACACGTTTGGTTCGAGTCCCGTTTAACGACTCTGGAGCTCAAAACGCGTCCAGAGTTTTGGCCGCTCCACCGGTCTTGGCCCACACTGTGCCCCGGCCATGGGGCTGCAGCTCGGAGCGCCGAGGCTGCCGGAGCTCCGCCATGCAAATGCAAATGACGCCTCGGACGGGGCTCGGGCCTTAACACGTCCTCAAATTAATGAGGGGCTTTGTGTGGCGAAAGTTTGGATTCGCCGTCACGCCGTTGCGGGGCCGGGCAGGGCAGGGCAGGGCTCGCTGCTAACGAGCCACGCATTCAGCCTTATTACGCCACTGGAAAAACCTCAGGGGGCAATGCCACCGCGCCACCCGCGAAAATCGAAAACCCGCTCGGACCATCCGAAATCCCCGCCCCGCCCCGCCCCGCCCGCCCGCCCCGCCCCGCCCCGCCCAGTGAATACGCGACATGCCATGCGCGGCGTGCCCCCCGTGCTCCCTGTTTCTCCGTGCCCCCAGGGCCTCAGGTCTCCACGCCGAACCATGCTTCAAGGACAAGGACAAGGCCGTCCCCTTGCTCCACGCAGGCCGGCGCGGCGCAGGCTCATTTTTCTCTCTCTCACTCCCCGCTCCCGCGCGGGACTAGGGGCGCCCCATGAGTGCGAGGGAGAGAGAGGCCTGCTGGCCGCCGTGCGGTTGACACACGGCACACGCCGCGGGGCGGTCCGAGAGCTCCCGCGTTACAAGCCGTGTTACGGAACAAGGAACGAAGAACAAGGCCCATCGCGCTGTCTCTCTCTTTTTCTATCCCCCAGCCAGCCAGCCAGCCAGCCAGCCAGCCAGCCAGCCCGGCGGCGTGCACGCGGCTACGCGGCCCACCACCGTCTTGGCCCCCACCACGGCCACCAAAACGCCAAAGCCCCCTCCCACCCCCACCCCCACCCCTTCCGGGCCTTCCGGCTGCAGCGCGCCGCTGGCGGGCTGCCGCTGCCACGCGGTACACAGCTGCAGTGGATCGATCCAGCCAGGTGCTGCCCCGTCGCGTCCCCCTCCTCCTCCCCTCCGCGCCATTCGCTTCTCATTATTATTCTTCGCGGGGCTCTCTCTCCCTCTCTCACTCTCATTATTCGCCACGCATTCGGACTGTGTCCACACTCCGCGCGCCTTCCACAACGGGCCAACCATAACAGTTGCCCTTGGTCGCGACCGCCCCCCCCCCCCTCTCTGGCATTATAGGCAGTGATACCATGGGGGCTTCGCCGCTTCGCCGCTTCGCCGCTTTGCCTCGGCGTCGCGTTCCATTTACATCGGCGCGGTACTGCTCCACTCCACTGTGGAGGCGCTCCGCCCGTTTGTCGCACTCCCACGGAAACGGCGCGACATTTCTCGAGCCGGGCCGACTCCGCTGGCTCTGTCTCTCGCACCGCTACGAGACGCTCCGTGGGAGCGAGAGAGACAGACGCTTCGGAATGAGGCGGCAGGTGACGCAAATGACGGCGATTCCGTCTCCGCGGCGCCGAGGCGCTGTCGCGTGTGTCGCGGCCCACTAGGCAAAGCAGAGTAAGCTCGGCGGACGCGGCGGCGGCACGACCGGCAGCCCCTCCAGACCTCCCCTCGACTCGCCAGTGATCCGTATGCCGGCACTGGTAAACACACACACACACACACACGCACGCACACACACACACACACACACACACACACGAAGGAAGAAACAATTTCTCTGATTTCGCCACGCGCCGGCGCTGGGTCGTCGGCATGAAGGACAGCGGGCTGGGGGGCAGCATGGACAGCGCCTTCAGGGTGGCGGTGCAGGGGGTGGCGGCGGGGAGGTGCTGCAGACGACGGGCAGGGCCAGGACTGCCAGGACTGCCAGGACTGCCAGGACCAGGACGAGGAGGGTGCGGGGGAATCCTCCGGGACGGCACGGGGCTGCCCCCGGCTGCCCCCGGACGGGCAGATAGATTCCGCGTCGCCGTCACCTGCACTGTAAGCTGTGCGGCGGGGCGGCGGGGCGGCGGGGCGGGGAGGCTATCTCCATCTGCCTTGGCACGCCGGGAGGGCAGGAGGCCCTGAGGGGTTAGGTTAAGGGACAGGGGAAAGAAAAAGTTTGCGTGTGAGAGAGAGGGAGAGAAAGAGAGAGGGAAAACGAATTCCCATGGCGTAGTCGCCCCCAGGTCAACCGAGAAGTGCTGCGCTGTGGCGCGCTTGGCACAAATCCTGCGGACGAGGGTCGGGGTTGGGGCCGGGGTGGTGGGGGCGGAGCGGCGCGGCGCGCTTTTGGGGGTCTCCGGGGCCGGCGTCGGGGGCTCTCTTTCCAGTGTACGAAGCACGCCGACGGCGGCAAGGCGCGGCAAGGCGGCACCTTGGTTGCCCCGGTTTGCCGGGGAGACGCGTCAGCCAGTCATTGATTGATGCCTCCGGCTTTACCGCGACGCCTAGCCTTGCTCATTTCGTCGCTCTGTCTCTGTCCCACTCAGGGGGCGTGCCGCAGGGAGTGCGAGAGAGACTGCGCGACGCTCTTCTTCTTCTTCTCCTCGGCGGCGCGCTCCGTGTTGGCGAGGCGGAACATGCCTTTACATCAATGGTCTCGCAGAGGGCGGCGAGGGCGGCCCGGGCGGCAGCGCCATCCCTTCCCCTGCCGCCCACGGCGGGGAGGGAGAGAGAGAGGGAAGGACCCGTCGGAGCAATAATTACACCATTGTTCGGCGCGCGCGCGAAAAAGACAAAAGACAGAGGAGATGAAACGGAATCGCCGGACCCCGCACGGCAGCCGTGTGGGCGTGTGGGGCGTGTGCGCAAGCAGCTGGCGCTGACGGCGACGGCCGTGGGGCTGTGCGCCGTGGGCGCCGTGGGCGGGCCCGGGCCGCAGATTCCTCGGAGGTTCGCGCTCGCGTTCGCGCTTCAAGTGGCTCTCGACATCAGAAGCGCCGCAGCGCCGCCGACGCCGCCGACCCGGCTCGGCTCCGGACAACCGGAAGACCAACAACCAGAGAAGAAGGGGAAGGGGAAGGGGAAGGAGGAGGGGTGATCCAAACCCGAATCGCTCGCCGCGCATTCGGCATCCCGATCGCCTGGCGCCTGCGGGCCTGGTCTCTGGCCTCTGCGGGGGGGAAATGCGTTACATTTCTGTTTTTTACGCGCGAAAGAGCCTCCTCCCCCCCCCCACACACACCCACACCCCGACAGGCAGAATGACAGACACACACACAAACACAGTAGAACGGCAGCCAAGCAGACTCGAGCGTCGACCGCGAAAGGGCAGCCCGTAATAAGGATATGGAGGCCTCGGTCCCTCTCCCTCGGTCGGCTCGGCACGGAGGCGGTCTCGTGGGGATGGGAGGGGAGGGGAGGGGAGGGGAGGGGCAGCGCTGCACGGACTGATTCCGCGAGCAGCGCTCTGAGGTCGCGGCGTCAGCCTCCCTCGCACTAGTGGGGCGTTCCGTTGCGGTGCGAGAGAGACAGAGCGACGAGGCGGCGTGCGGAATCATCGCTGTGTTGGTGTAAATGTGGAGTTGAGCTGCTTAGAGGGAGCTGGGGGCGGGCAGAGTGACTCGGCCTCGTCGCCGTGCCTGCCTGCCTGCCTGCCTGCCTGCCTGCCTGTCTGTCTGCCTGGGCGGGCCTAGCCATGTTCATGCAGAGATAGGGCTGCAGCCGCAAGGCGCAGCCTTGGCTGGAAGGAAGCGTGTATCAATATTACGCCAGGCAGGCCGTGCCCGCAGCCCCTTCCTCCCCCCTCCCCCTCCCTGCAGCGCCGCACAAATTGTGTCTTTGGTGTGCTGCGGAGACAGGCGGCGGGCCCGGCGGGGCGTTGCAGCCCCGCCCCTCTCCCCAGCCCTCCTGCAGACGGCCCCCCTCTCCTCGCCTGGGCCGAAAAAAAAGAGCGAGGGAAGAGAATATTTGTTCTTTGCCTCTCGGCGCATGACTGCGTCATGAGCGCGCGCTGGAGCTCGATCTCGAAGCTCGAACTCGAAGCTCGAGGCGGGCGATGTGTGGGTGGGGACCCCCATACATCTGTCGAGGGGGCGTGGGGGAGCCCGGCCCCAGCCCGGCCCGGTGCGGCCTAGGGTTCGGTTTCGTGGGCCGGGGGCGTTTGGCGCAGTTTGGGAGCCGAGCGGGGGGCGGGGGACGAGGAGCGGGGAACGGGGCTGGGAAAGGCTCTGACCCTCAAGGTCATGCACGACCTCGTGCACGACCGCGACGTGGCGTTGTGGTCACAGGCGGCCCGAGGGCGGCCGCAGCCAACGCCGCGAGGATCACTCGCCCCGCCGCTGGCAGTGTGTGTCCGTGAGTCAGTGAGCAAGGCGTAAAGCAAAGGGGAAGGGGGAGGGGCAAACGGAGTGAAAGACTGCCCGCCGCGCTGGCGGCCGCACGGCGGGGAGCCCGGAGCGCCGGAGCCAAGCCGTCTAAGCCAGGGCGGCCAGAACGCCTGCGAGGTAGGCCGCGGGGCCGCAACGGTGCGCGGCGGGTCGGCCTGCCTGCAGGCGCTCGGCCGCCCTGGCCGCCCTGGCCGCCCTCGCCACCCCACCGCACTGCTGCACGTGTTGGCTGAGCGATTATACCGCTATCGCTCAATTAAGGCAAGGGGCCGGCCGTCGCTTCGATTTAGAGGACTGTCTGGACAACGAATACCCACAACAACACTACGCCTTGGTCGTCAAAAATATTCGGTTTTTCCTGCCGCCGTGCTCGCGTTCAAATGGAAGAGTGCGATCCCGGATGCACCTTGCGTCCGTTAGTCCGTTGGAGGGCGGCGAGCGGCTCCAGGCCGAGAGGACATGCCGGGGCGCGCCGGGGGAGGGAGAGCTTGCCAAACAGTTTGTCATCCTCGGCGGGGCGCCGGCGGGGCGTCGCCGAGGTGGGGAGGGGAGCGGCGGGGCGCGGCGGGGCGGGGCGGGGAGAGCTCTCTTGGAGAGTGATGGCGAAGGAAAGGGTCATCTCCTTGATCCCGCCGCCATCCACACGCCGTAAATCCGACTGGGGATGGAAAGAGGCACGGACAGAGGGGCTTGAGGTCCCTGTCGAGGTCCCCGTCAAGGTCATCCTGAGGTGGCCGCCCCATTCGCACGCCCAGGAAAGCGCGCACGCCGTCGACACGCCGCACGCGCTCCCAAACCAGCGACCCCAGTAAAAAGAACTCCTCGGACAGACCGCGCGTCTGGCAGGTCGAAAAAAAGACCAGCTGCGTTATCGCATGCGATAACGCGACCGGAAACGGAAAGACTACCGAGTCGGCGGCGGCGGCGGCCCTTTTTGCAGTGCGGGAGCGTGGTTGATTGAATGGTGGATGAATGCTGACAGGTGAAAGGGCGCCGAGGCACAGCGACTAGGCGATGGCACAGTGGTCCCTCCCTCATCAATACGTGTCAGTCCGCGTCAGTCCGTTCGGGAGCGGCTCGCCACTGGTAGGCGAAGGCCGGTGAAAAGGCCGGCACACCCAACCACGAATTGAAACGAGTTGGAAGCGAAGATTCAAGCCGATTGCGTGCAGGCGCTTTTCATCTACAGCCATTCTATTGTACGCCGGTAACTCCTTTAGTGATAATACGGCCAGGAAAAGCTATTTCTTTCAAGATAGAAATCTCTTTTATTTTTTAAATAAATTAAAATTAAATTAAATTGGGAGGGCAGGATAACCCAGTCTGCGCGAGACGCTTCTCAAAGCGAGGGGCCGAGAAGCCACACTCCACGCACGCTGGCCAACCGATAAAGGCGGTCTTCCAGGCGAGCGGCCACAGGGCCGGGGCATGGCCGGGGTGGCCGGGGCATGGCCGCGGCCCCAAGGCCGGCAAGAGTCGCGAGTGGCATGAAAGAAAAATGCCGGTGCTGCTCAGGAGGAAAGAGCGCCCTTAACGAGGGACGGGGATGGCAGCCCTGGCCGGCCCAGGCAGCGCCGCGTTTGCCCGCCAAAACCGTTTTTCTCCTCTTTTTTTTTTGCAGCGAGGCGCTCCAACGGAAACTCATTCCGATTACGCCATCAAACAAATTCACTCAAGCTAATGCCGGGATGAAAGTTGAGCAATTCCGGGAACACAGAACAGACCGCTCCCCTTTGAGCATGAGCAGGACGCCGCGAAATTCCCTCCGAAAACGGCTAGTGCCAGTTCTCTCTTTGGCGCCGCCCTCTCCTCTCCTCGTACAGCCCCCCGTGTTCAGCGCTTTCGGAGTTGACGACTTACAAGCCACTAAACAAGACGTCGGGATGGGGGATTCGGCGAAAACGTGGAGGGAGGGGGCGGCCGGCTGAGACTAAATAAAGTTGGCGTTCCGGGCGTTCCGACTCCCCCTCCCCCTCCCCGCGGCAGGGCGGCGGGGGCGTCCAGCCGGCACCGCGAGGGACGGCCGGGACGGCCTGGAAGCTGGAGCACTGCGATTCCCCCGAAGCCGTTTCTCGACTTTCCCGAGTGCTGCACTACAACTGAACAATAAGCCCCCCGCCTCCCGCAACACTGTGAACACTGTCGATTCGATCCCGACTCCACTATTCGCACTTCGCGCGCCAGCTTTCGCGGCCGTTTTGACGGCGACGTCCAAGGCGACGTCGCGTTCGCCGAGTCCCAGCCTCTCAGCGTCCGCGGCCGATGGAGCTGGCAGCCGGGCACGCACGTCGACGTCGCCCCATGGCCATAGCCAGCCATAGCGCCGCGGCGGGGCGGCGGGCGTGCGGGGAGGGGACTGGGGCGGGGCTGGGGCACTCCGCTCCGCAGCCCCCGCCAAGGGCGTTTGCGTTCCGCTTACCCCTTTGAGCCCCGTTGAGCCCCCTTTGGGGTTCTGGATGACATCCAATTGGCGGACTGCGAGGCGAAAGCGCGGCGCGCAGCGCAGCGTACTGGGTGCTGACGGCGCTGCGGCCCCGCGGGCAAGGGCCATGAATATTGATGGCTAGTCGCTTTTATCATTTTTATGCCGAGTGGGGCGGGGCGGGGCGGGGCGGGCGGGGCATGTTTCATCCCACTCGACACGCGGCAATAAAGTGAATGGAGCAGATGGAGTGCCGAGTCGCGACGTTCGCTTCCACCTGCACTTCCAGCTTCCCGACGATCCTGGAGCACGCCGTGCACCCTCACTGTAACTGCCAGCCGCCCACCTTGGCGATGAGCTGCTTCCGGTTGTCCAGCGCCATGTTGGCCATCTGCTCCGCGAGCACCCGGTCGGCCTCCTTCTCGGGGTCCTTGGGCTCCTTGGCGTCCTCGTCGTCGCCCACGGTCCGCAGCTGCCGGTTGGCCAGCACGCGCTTCAGGTTGCGCAGGGCGGTGGCCTCCTCGCGCTTCCTGGACGGCGGCCAGAGCCGCGTGGGGCCCACGCCGTCATCCTGGAGGACATGGCCGGCATGGCGCACAGGGCGGTAGTCTCAGGTCGGCGGCACGCCTCCAAGTGGTCGTCTCTACAGTGTCGGCGTGTACCTGGTTCTGCTGCAGTTGCTGCTGCTGCTCCTGGTACATCTGCTCGTGCCGCTGCTGCATCTGGCTGGCAATGGCCTCGAGCCTCTGGCTGGCCGACGCCCTGGCCGGGGGTTGGATCTGGAAACAAGTCACATGTCAGCAAGCCGGCGCACTGTGGGCCAGAAGATCGGCGGAGGCGGCCAAAGTTCTAGACGCGTTTTGAGGTCCAGCCTCGAACCGAACGTGTGACCCCACCACTGGATTGCTCTCCGAACGAGGAATCCATTGGTGAGGTCGCACGTTCGGTTCGAGACGCATTTAGCGACGTTGGAGCTCAAAACGGCCGCTGACACCTTTCACGCTGGCCCTACCTTGGGGGAGCGCGTGGCTTTGGACTCGTTGAAGTGCAGCCGGCGCATGGTGCCGCCCGCGGCACCGCCGGCGTGCTTGCGCAGGATGCCCGGCGTGGCGGGGCCGTCCTCGGCCATCCTCGACCACTAGAAGGACTAGGCGGCCGTCACGGCGGAGAAGAAGAAGTGCAGCACGAAGGCCAGCAGGAGCAGCAGGACGAAGAGAGAGAAGTGGTGGTGGTGGTGATGGTGGTGTTGGTGGCACAGCAGGCTAGACCACCAGCCCCGCGCTGCGGCGCGCGTCGCCCGCGAGGACCGGCCCGCCCTGGGGCCCGCCGCCCCCGCACCACCCCGCGACCCTCGAGGCCCCCGCGCCCTCCGCGTCCAGGGCGTTCGGCGCGGAGGCAGCGCCTGGCCGTCGGCCGGCGTGTAGGCCGTGGAGGCCTTGGACACCTTCGAGCGGCCCGTGCGGCCGAAGTCGCTGCGTGCGGACGACGACGCCTGCGAACAGTGGCATTGACAGTATAGAGAGCGTTGTCAAGTCATTGTAATCGCGCAGCCGACAGAACCAATCACATTGCCTTCAACAACTCGCTGCGTGTCCTCCAAACCTTCCCCATTTTCCCATTTTCTGTGCCCGGACTGTCCTCTAGGCCAACTTCAATTGGAGTGATTTTTTGGGGGCTCGGAAACGTGCCGCGTGTTCCAGTGATGTGTGAGATACGCTCGGCTCGACGGGGACGCCGATCCAAACAAATCAACAATAATAATTGAAAATGCAAAATGGCTTTGGGTCTGACCTGCAGTGACATGTCGGGCCATGACGGGCTGCGCGCTGCCGGGCGTTGCGCTAGGCCCCCATGCCGCCCGTGCCGCCCCGGGCCGGGACTGGCCGGGACTGGCCGGGACGCGGACGTAGGGGACTGCGCGGGGATCGCCGGGGTGCCGGGCAGACTGCAGCTCGCTCCGCGTGTCGAGGCAACCCTCCGACTCTGCCTGGCTCCGGGCCTGGACTGCGCTGCGCCGCGCCGCCCCCTGCCTGCCGCCAGCGAAGCTAGCGAAGCCGGTACGGCCCGTCTCGAGCAGGGGTGGGGGTGGCTGGGGGCAGCGCCGCCCCCGTCCCCGCCCCGCCCCGCCCCCGCCCCGCCCCGCCCCCGCCCCGGGCAGTCCGGTCAAACTGGGCCCTGCGCCGCCCGCTCCTCTTCCAGACAATCAACATCTTGGGAACTAGAGCAGGGCCTTCGTGCAATGCAGAGCCGCGAGCGGGACGCCGCCAGGTTCACGAGCATTGTGGGCTGGCAGAACGAAAGAAGAAACAGGTAACAGAAACAAAACGAGGCCGCGGCTCTCGGTAGGGTCGGCACGATCGTGAGCAGTGCCACCGGCACAATACTCAAGTTGAAGCAAAGAAATTTGGAGCTGCCGTCGGACCGCCGACCGGCCAGCAGGGTGTGAGATCAGCTTCAAAAATAAATTCTCGATTGTTTGTGAGGCGACACTTACTGGGTTCGCGATATGGTGGTGTCCGCGAGAAAAAGACCACTTTCTTTGAAAGGATCTGCGCCCGGCCCACTTCAAGGTGCTTCCCTTGCTTCCCGTCCAGAAACTGCCAGTCGCAAAGCACCGCACTTCAGTAGGCCACCGCCATCGCGACACACACTGGTGGCAGGACGGTGCCTACCTCGCCCCTTAAGCGCCTGTGAGGTAGGCCACCGCCACCCCGACCCACACCGGTGGCAGGACGGTGACGGTGCCTACCTCGCCCCTTAAGCGCCTGTGAGGTAGGCCACCGCCATCGCGACACACACCGTTGGCAGGACGGTGCCTACCTTGGCCTTTAGCACTTGCGGCTGAACTGACGTATGTGCGGATTCGAGGGAAACATTCCAATGACAACGATAATCTCGGATTGAAAATGAAATGTATTATGTTTAAGGATAATTACAAGGAAAGGGGTTATCAATTGCTAATATATACGAAAACTGTCACTTGAACCGTGCAATACATGAGAACTCAATACATAGGGTGGGTCAAAGAGTTCGACTATGATATTAAAAATTCAACATTAATTAGGCTCTACTGGATGACTAACATTATATCACAGTTTCCAGACAATAATGATGTCCAGTGTGAAGAAGATAAATAAAACCAAAGCATTACGAAACTGGAATGGTTATCAGAGGCTAAACACTTCATAGAACGTTAAATTACACCCACTATTCTATCTGAGATCACTTCAAAGTGTACTGCAAGGTACAGAAAAAATGGGAACAGTATTAAGTACAAGGAGCTTTACTGGAGTACAATAACACAGTATCTTACTTAGCATGGTTTAAAAAGTAGAGTTCTGTCAGTAATGAAGAGGACATAATGCTTGCATCTCCAAAGTCTTTGCATTCCTAGAACACTGACTTGAGAATTCTCTATTCAAAACTTCAACCAAACCATGTACAACTTAATTTAACATTTTATTATGATAGCTACCGATATGTCACCAAAGAAAACAGGGCCCAAGACATAAAGTACAGGTATTCATGAGAAATTTAAATTTATCTGAATCAATGAAATGTATTAATTTACACCACCTTACTTAAAAGTTTTTGTTTTTTCTTAGATTGCATTAAATTGAATTTTTGTCCTTTCTGATATGAAAACTCATTAACATAATTGACAACACAGCTGTTAGATAAGAAAACTGTAGCTCAAAATCAAATGTTGGATATACAAGCCAGGGAAAAAAAAAGCTTATGATGCAAGATACAGCAAACACACCAACATGAGTGAACTGTACAGTATAATCCTGTTTCCTACCCCAAAACATATCTCGGTCAAAAGATAACTAGAAAGCACAATCACATTGGTATTAAAATACACCAGAGGTGAGGTATGTTACAAAATATCAGAATATCAAATATCAAATGATTATTCTGAAGCAACAATGACATTTTACATTTTCAAACACAAGCATGAGAATACAATGTAGGCTATAAAATTTAGATGAGATAAAATTCACTTTAAAGTATTGGATTATTATTCTATTAGAACACACATCAACAGGAAAAGGAAAACCAAACAGTGCAACATTACACAAGATAGCTATTTCTTCCCTTGCCCTGATGGTGAGGCACTCAGCGCAAGCTTGGTTTTCTTGGAGATAACAACAGTTACCTTACAACATTTAAATTCAACTTGTTCCATACCAAGTTGTTCAAATTTATAACTACAAAGTCAAAACTTACTCCTTTATTCATAACTTTTTTCAAAAACCGTTTGTTTTAAAACAGGTATGTTTGAAAATAGCCAAATATACATCAATGTTTTTCCATGCAACAGTCTGGCTCTGGCTCATTCATGGCTACTCTTGTAAAACAGTATCAAAATAATCACTTTAAAAATGGATGATGACCATCCATGTTTTTATGAACAGTGGTGAGTCCACATGACTTGCATGTCATTCCATACTAATTTTGTTAAACTGAAAATACCACTTCAGTACATTAGTCTCACCAAATCAATGAATTCACAAAATTAAAGTAACATCAAAAAATGTGCAAAAGCTGCAGAAATACTTTATAAAAAAGAAGACAGTTAATCAATAAACACAACTTTAAGAAAGTAAAAAATAAACAGTACATTAATTGACAAATTGTAAGTTATGGAACACGTGACCAACAGTGTCAACAAAATGTAAGTCATTATTTTCAGCATTCTTAAGGGCCCTGAAAAATACAGCACCAAGTCATATTAAACTTAACAGAGTTATTTTGTGCAATGAGCACATTTCTTTTTTGTGCTGCACCCACTGCACCTTTGTTCAACAGTTGGGCTTGGTTCACATTGGCAGTTCACAGTTAGGGAATGGCACTTAGCACACTTCACAATCTTATTAAATTTACACAAAATCATAAGTTTCTTTGGTGTGTAGTAAGGGTCGCTCAGCTTCTGGTCCAACATGAAATGTCTTCGACCAATCAGTCGTATCTGGGTTAAGTAACCCAAAGCATCGCCAGCCCAGGAAATCAACCAGATTTTGGAAATATCCTTTATGGAAAGGACTGCGAGAGACACCACTTTGATGGAAATGCTGGTAACGCCAGTGATTCAGTCTCTCATTTGTAGTCATGCCCAAAAGCACAATCTGCATCAAAACAATAATTGGTATGTATCCATGTTATTAAAATATTAGACTCAATAAAGTTCAAAGCTTTAATACATACCTGATACGTTTGACATCCAAGCAGCAAGAAAACCCAGATTGCATGCAAGATGCAATTAAAAGTTATCCACATCACCCAGGAGTCACATTGACTTGAAGCAATTATAGCTGCATTAGAAAAGACAAACATAAACTTTCCATCACTCTGCACTAAAACAATTGTTTAATTTTAAGCAATGAATACATACATCCAAAAAACCCAGAGGATGTTGGTATGTCGCAAGCTGTCTGAAAGAACTGTGTGGCTCCATAAATCATGAAAAATATCATCACCAAAAGCATAAGCAAATAGCCTATGAATTGTTTGTGATTTTTGTCACCTAAAAGTAAAATTATAAAACAGCGAATCATCATTAAAAATTCTTCAACTTTTTGCATTTAGAACTTCACTACAAGGATGTTAAATTCTCACCAATGCAGTTTGAAACCCAAGGACAGTGATGGTCATGTTTTGCAATGCAGCGGTCACAAACACCACAATGTTTTGAACGAAGTGGCTTATGGACAAGACAAGAACTGCAGAAGGAACGGGCATCAAAACCCCTACGCTCTGCTTCTTCAATAATTATCTAGAAAAGAAAAAGGCAGAGCTAGATAGAATTCTTACAACAATCTAGGAGAAAGCTGCTTGTAAAAGTAGAAGACTCACCCGGTACTTCTCTTCTTGGGTGTTAGATACAATTCCTGGATCACCTTTCCAAACCTTCAAGAAATTATACCACAGAAGGATAGAACTGATTAACATTGCTATGGTGACCGAAATATTTACATGTGGTATAAACCAAACTAGCCATGTGGCATAGACCCAGAACTGTAATTATAGAAGTTCATATTAAAACCAATCTTTTAATAAATTGTGTAAAAACTGACTCTTTAAATCTTAATACCTTGGTTCCAAAATAGGTTGCAAGCGGTAGAACAGTAAAGTATTTGTCATTGCAAACATATGGGCGTACAAAATAGCCAAGTACATAGCCTAACAGAAGAATAACACATTTAATTGGAACTGGAATAGGTGACTGAAGTAACCTTCCAATGACAAATATTGCTGTAGCTGGTAGAAGGCCTGTTATCCACATTTTCACTTTCTGAAAAATCAGTTTAATTGGATGTAGGAAGTACAAGACAAGTGTTATTAACCAAATAATTTCAAAAGGTGGCATCTTGAAATACCTTGTCCTTTGTAATTCGATCACATAAGGAGGTAGGTCTTGATTTCTTATCAACCTCTTCTATCTTTTCAATAACTTTGTCACTAAGGAACATATCTCTGTTACCTTTAAGTAATTCATAAGGTGTTTGTCCCTGTAAAAACAGTATGTTCATTGAAACAGATGTGATGGCAATCACCAATCGGTGCTACCAATGATTATACTGGAAGTACTTACAGCATTATTGCGAACTGCAAGGTTTGCACCATTAATAGCTAAAGTAGTGACGGCAGTTGAGTTCCGAGCAATTATGGCCCAATGAAGAGCAGTGTTACCATGGAAGTTATCTTGAACTACAGTTGAGGCACCTAAGGTCACCAGCATACGAGTTGGGTCCAAACTAAAACAGACAATACAAATTAGATAGATAAGCTAATGGTGCTATAACTTAACAAAACTATACAAAAAAAACACAAGGTTCCCTCTACTTGGTGGCAAGTTGACTAGTACTTTGTTAACCAAAAAGTGAATTTTAAAGATGCCTGTGCTAACTAATGCTGTGCAGGAAAAATAATATTCCTTTGTCTAACAGTGTAAAAAATATCACATGGACACAACAAATATGTATAAGCACTACACGGGCAGCACTTCAAGAAAAACTAATGGTCATGTAAATAAGTGACCAGATGTCCTCATTGAAAGATAACTTCAATCTTTTCATTATTATTTCAAAATAAATCCAAACACCGAATAACAAAATGCCTCTTGGTGTAATTAGGGAGTTGAAAATGGACTGAACAATTTCAAATACCTATATTAAGCTGTTACCTGGAAAGTTACATTTTTTTGGGGGATTGCAGCTCACAGGGATTGAACAGACAGTTCAATTGCATCGAAGAGATTTTCTGATGGAATTGAAGTGATTTCATTTTTAAACTAGAGGTCAGACGGTCGGTTGGTGCGCATCCTCACGCCCTAAAATCGTTCCAACATATTTATTTCTATTAGATTTAGTTCTTAAAAGGAACACTTTGACTTTCGTCAGTTCTGATGAAACAGTTTTAGAGGTTAATACGGAAGTGAGATCCAATTGACTGACCTCCCAAAATGTTTTGCTTAAGAGGACACACTCTAAGGCAACACTAGACAAGGGCACATGGCTGGGAAAGCTGACAAGATCCAAATTTCATTCACTGCAAAACTAGACCAGAATTGCAAGGATATTTTGCGTGGCAAGGCAACAAACACAAGGTGATAGCTCAAGTGTTCAATCAATGTTCATTACCAGGAGCTGAATCCCCAAAAGTCCAGGGCGCACGCATACAAAAATCTATTAATTATGTGTGAAACAAATGCAGACTAACAGTTACACATTCAATAAGTGAAGAATCTGTATCAAAACTTCAACTCGACAACATACACCATCTCTGAGTTTTGAGTATAATGCAAGACAAAATAATACTGATTTCCAAACTCCTACCATACTTTTTATCCATCTAAAGAGGAACAAAAAAATTAAACTTGATTCTTAACATGGTAAAACTAGATTTGTAATATGTAAGCGAAGATCAGACATCAATGTTGCAGTTAAGTGGATCAATGTCACAAGTGCGACTTGGCAGAAGACTTCAAAATTTGAGAAGGGGGGGGGGCATTAAGAAGTACATTGTTGACACATCAAATCTTTCCTACAAATTAAATAAAAATCAAGAGTGGACTATGAACAGAAATTGTAGATGACTTAACCACAGTAAAATCTACTAAAAATTGAATTATGATGCAGAAAAAGGTACAAAGGTACATTACTGAAGCATGCAAATTTTTAACAACAGAAACCGAAAATAGAATATATGTGGTAAAAAAGGGAAAAAGCCTCAAGAAATGATAAGTTAAAAAGTTTTAACTAGACAACTAATTCAGTTTTAAATGCATGCCAGAAAAAGCACATGTACAGTTGTGAATATTATAGTGAAATACTTTAAGGTTTGTTGATTTTTTTGTTACAAGTGAAATCCATCTTAGGTTTGATGTGTCATCTTTGTTGAAAACTGATGGTAAGGAGCATAATGTGTGAATCAACAACCTTGAACTTGCGCACCTGGTGACTCGGTATGCGCTCCACATAAGAGGTGTCATGCCACCACGGTCCTGGCAATTCATGTTTGCTCCTTTGGCAATAAAGTACGCCATAATTCCAGCGTAGCCCAGCTGAGCAGCTATGTGGATACATTGTAGTCCATCTCCATCACAAATCAATGGATCTGCACCATGCTGCATCAAAAGCACGACAGTGCCCAAGTGACCCGCTCTGAAACAAAGAAATAAATAAAATGGGCCGTTAGAAAAACAAAGAAAACCACTAATCATAGATAGAAAACAAATCTTTCAATATTAACCAAAAATTAATTTTTTAAAATGAAACTGGGACACATTTTGCTATTTTCTTACCTCGTTGCCCAATGAAGAGGAGTGGCCATCAAGTCTCCTCCAACCGCATCAACATGAGCCCCTTGTGAGATATAATAGCGAATAATTTCTTTCCGATTGTTGATTGCTGCCCAGTGGAGCAAGGTAACATTTTCAGCATCTCTCTGGTTTACGTCAAACCCTTCATTTACCAATTGTTTGCACCTTTCAAGAGCTCCATTCTAAAAGAGAAACATTCAAAATTCAGAAGAAAAAAAGAAGCTAATAACATGCCTAGACACTGTTGATGATTTGGGATAGGGCTGTTACCTGTGTGGCTTTTACAATATCCAAGTTGCTATAGTCTGCTTCAGGTGTCGACGCCTTGGTTTGTGGTACTTGTTCCTGAAACATCTCTGCTTGAGCATGTTGACAATTTTCTCTCTCCCGCCGGAACAGGCTGCCTGGTTGGCAAGCATCCTGAAATGTAAGTGTAGAAGTTAGGGTTGCAGCACTTGCCTTGGGCCTTAAGAGCGGGGAAACATATTCGTATTAGTCATACACACAATGCTAAGAAAATTTTGAAAGCTTCAGGGATGGTACTACTTAAGCCACAGATTTTAGACAATGTTAGATTAGTACACGAATTTTTTAACGAAACCAAAAGCAGTCGATAAAATTACAAGAGCAGCCAAAGAATAAATCTTCACTTGCTTATCAGCAAGGTTAGGAACACCACATACATTTTTGTAACGAGGCAAGAGGGAGGACAGACTCACCTGTGATACGAACTGGATCGGGTTACAAGTGGGATCCGCCAGGTTGCTGGTTTGATTCTAAATTCAATATTTACAAATTCGAAGAACTCTGCTCACGCCAGTCGAGGCACATGAGTGGAGCAATAGTAAATAGACGGAGAATCCGGGAATCTAAAACAAAGCAAAGCCTGTAAGACCGTGTGTTATATCGGCAAAATAAGGACGACGATGATCAACGTGTGCAAGAAGACTTACTTCTAAATTTAATGAAAGTAAGGCAGGATACCGAACTGTACGAAAATGTCAATAAAATTATAACTCATACCACAAAGACCACATACATATTCATATTGGGGAGGGAAGAACGAGAAACGAGACTAAGTATGCCATGATAGCCAGCTGATGACTTTCAAAAAGCCTATACATGAGTTTATTCGAGCGTGGTTCTAGAACCGATCCCATAACCGAAATTGCATTCATTCGCCATCAAATTAAGGAAGCCAAAGGGCTTTTCGCTGCAAACATCATTTGGCAAATTTGTCATGGAGACGTGGTTCTAGTCTCATAGCCGCATGAGAAGACGACTGGAGCGCCCTCTGTGCGGATATAACTTGAAACCGTTGTCTGCCGTCGATCGCCCAGTGGGTGGGCCACCAGCAGAGCAGAGCAGACGATGCAAGTTGTTGGTTGTTGCGAGAATGCGACCTTTGCGTCAGCCTTGAGCCCCACGTTGTGTCAACACTAGGATTGGATTATACATTTCCACTTTCACCTACCCGAATCCATGTTAATGCGCCAGGAGGCAGGCTCGGGTGGTGTTTCTCCTTCAGTCTAAGAGTTGTGCCCCAACCAAGCAAGATGGTTGCTGGGGTTGCCCTGGACGATTTACTCTACGGAGGACTTCTAGTCTCTTGCATTTTATTTGGCTGGTGTTTCCGTCGCATCAAAAATCCTGTGAAAAAGAAATGGATCTCGACAACTGTGGGGTTCCTTCTAGTTCTAACTGTGTCGGGTACCCATGTACTCAGACCCTTGATTGTGACAACTGTGAATGCATTCTTCATAACTGTTATGGGGAAAAAGTATGTGTGCCTTTTGAAAGCAGTATCATCTGTGGCTGCACTCTAGTTGAAGCAGGTTTCATAACAATTTACCCGTTTAATTTTTTTTCTCCAGGTACAGTCACATACTCAGTTTTATCTTCACCTTTGGTTTCCTGACATTCTTCCGAGTATCTGACTACTTTAGTGCTCCTTATGCACCGGGACCAGTGAATCTCATTAATATGGTTCTAACAATGAGGGTAAAAGTGCTATAATTTTTAAATTTATCAGTCACTTTTTTCAGCCATCAAAACCAGTGTCAAGTTCTGATTCTGGGGCTTATAAACTTCATTTTTTCTTTTTCAGATGGTGGGATTGGCATTTGAATCTCGAGATAGTTGGCTGGCTCACAAAACTGAGAGTAAAATGGCTACATCAGGTGCCAAGTTGTCAGAAATGGAAGAAAAAGAGCCATTGGACATTCATCCTGGCTTTTTGGATGTTTACCACTATGCTTTTTGTTATGTGGGTGTACTGACAGGTATTTATTTGTCTCATCGTTTATGGCAAATGATTTGTTCTTATCCACGGTTTGCATCTAAGTATAATGTTCCTTCTCCAAAACTTTAGGTCCATATTTCCGATACAATACTTACAGAGATATGATCAATACCCCATTTGCAAAGTTTGCCCCTTGCTGGGAGGCAACCGTAGAGAGGCTTGTGCTGTTGCCGTTTTCTATTTTGGCTTTCTTGTGTGTCAATAGCATGTACCCAAACAAGGTAAGCTTAGTATTGATTTACTATCATACATTTTTTGAAGATTTATTTGATGTGTTTTTCATGAAATCTTTCCTGATTTTCTGCAGATGGCTCTTGCTGATGAATTTTACACAGACCATAGTGTATTATATCGCATTGTATTTTTAAGTATTTCTTTCTTCAATTTCCGTATGCGAATTTACACGGGTGTTATGCTCTCTGAGTGTGTTTGCACCATGGCAGGATTGGGAGCCTATCCTGAATTTTGCAAACCTCGCTATGGGATGGGCCCAACTTGCCGGTGGCAAGAGGTTGCTCGACTGTTAGTAAACGTTTGATTGAGATACAATTTGTCATATATTAAATTGTAGTACATTGGCAATTGCGTTATTTGTTTCAGGGGAAGAAGTCCTGTTCAAGCAATGAGAGAAAAGTACAACTTTGAAACAATCCACAGTGTGATTATTTCAAGTTGTGAATTTGAGCCAACTGTACGACAAAGTATGAAGAGTTGGAATATGACTATCCAGTACTGGTTAGCTGCATACGTTTACAAAAGGTTCCCTGTGAAACCTCTGAGGTATGGATGGAAGTATAGAAGCTTAGTAATCCAGTAGCATTCAACTATCATTTACCCTAATGTGAATGTGCTCTCATTTTTAGGACTTTTGCCACTATGTTTATGTCAGCATTTTGGCATGGAGCGCATGCTGGATATTATTTGTGCATCATGTCTGTTCCTCCTCATCTTGTTGTTGAAGATTTGTATGTGAAGCTTTTTATGAAGACTGCTGGACCACATGTAAGCTATTTAAAACAGGCCTTTAATTGGAACTACTGTATGTATGATGCCCTGCTGAGCTCTGATTTGTTCCTTGCCGTTTTACAGTTCAAGAGAATCCTAAGCTTCATGCTATGGTACATGCGTGTGCAAGGATTTGCTTACATGAGTATTACATTCCAACTGCTTACCATTGAAGCAGCTCTTCGCTACTGGGGCTCCATATATTTCTGCTACCACTGGACATTGGGACTTCTGTACATCATTGGTCTCATTATTCAACTGCGGAGATCGAAAAAGGGGGAAGCTGTCCAGCAGGCTGTGCACCATGATTTCCATGCAATTGATCCACCCAAAACACAAAAAACCGAATGAAGAAGGGGGAACCAACTTGATCCTTTATGGCACAACTCTTCTGCGCCCTCAACTCCTGTGCTGGACCCTGCACGGCGCGGTGCGATTAGAAGCAGTCTGCATTCAAGTCTTCATCATCGAATAAACAGTGAATATTACATACGAGACAGCTGGCTGTAAGTCTGCTTGGAAGCTGGTAAAAGAATGGATGTAGTGATGTTGATGCCAGTAACAGTATTGTTGTTATTCGTAACAATGATTGGCAGAGGATTCTGAAATTACAAATCAACCTGTTAAACAACAGGTGCAGTGCTGAGTGTGTATTTGAGTGTGTAAGTCTGTGTGTGTATTAATAAATGGCACACTGAGTATTGAGCACTGTAATAAATTGCAGGTACTGAGAAAGTTAAAATTTCTGGACATGTATTAATGATACTGGTGTTGGCAGCACTTCTTCCATCTTTAATGACTAATACATCTTTGTAAAGTCACAAATCAGCTTATCATTTGATTGTCTTCCAGCATGGGTTTTATGACCATAAATTATTTAAGCCAATTGCTGACTGAAATAAGATGACTGTTGCGCTAGATGTACTGACAGTTTATTGCTCTTCTTTTTAAAAAGGCATCATTACTACTCAAAAAAGTATATGTGAAAGGATATTGAATGCTGGTTAGCATGGCATTTTGCATTAAAATCATTCAGCTTCTCCCTTACAGACTGATAAATTGAAGGACACTGGGGGATAATGAAACAAATTTTAAGATCATTATTTCTAGGGGCTCAAATGTTTGCATTAGGTAATGGAATATGATTCTGCATGTTCCATGATACTAATCGGTTGTAGGGAAAGGCTTATTCATGCAAAGTGCCATAGCTGCTGATGGATGCTCTGAAATCTTTGTGCCACAAAGGGTTAGGTTGTTTCCCCATCATACAAATGTTTGAATCCAAACAAATCCGAATTCGTAAGAGATATTGGTCATAACCTGTAGATTATAGCACCAGAATCACTTTTCTTTAATCTCCACTGCCAATAGAAAAAGTTTTTAAAAAAAGAAGAAAAAAAAGCTACATTTTACATGTGATTTATAGAGCTATTAGATGCACGAGTAATTACAAGACCCAAACTTTCTCTTTTCTGTGTTATGACCAATTCTTGAGATTTGGCAAGATCAAAAAGTTAATCTAATTGAAAATTTGCTTCTGATGCTGTTTTATTAGGGTGTTCAGCAGTGCAATATGTCCACGAGTATGAGACTCATTTTTATGGAGTAACAAAGACACGTCTACACAGGGACAAGTAATTTTTATTATGTTTTACTTGTCTCGGAACCTTGAAAGACAGTAGGTTTCAGATCTTTACTGACCTTGTACTTCGAAATCAAGGCTTGAAATAATGAAGTAGTTTCACCAAATTTTTCGAGATACAATTTAGACTTGTAACTTTATTTTTTAAGAACAATTGCCCCAAATCCTTTTTCCTTTTTCCTTTTATTTTTTTTTATCATGGGAAGAACTCTCTTTTTTATTCTGTCTTGTCAATAAAATGATAAGTAAAGGTTCCTCAAATAAATAAGCTGGACACCCTTTCTTGAAATTTCTAGTAGAGTTTTTGGTAAAAGTTGAATCTAACACTTGCTTGCAAGCAATTGGCACAGTTCTTTGAGGTGCTTGGTAGTGAAGACAGGTTATTGCATAGCGTGATCAGATTGTTGAATGAAGAGGGCCTTTGCTAGAGTTGTGAATTTTTAAGACTATTTCACATTTTGCAACATTCTCAAATGTAGTTGTGTAGTCTTTTGACTTTGCCAAGCCTAGCTGTATAATTGAATCTCTTTAGCTATGTTTAGTTTTTTTTTGTCTGTAAACTGCATTTATTTCATAGTTTTTCAGTGTGCTGTCTCTACTTACTTTTTTTTTCTAGATCTATTTTTTTTTTTTATTGAATTAACAGCTTATTTTTTTTACTTGAATGTGTCAGAGCTGAAGCAGCTATTGGCATCAAAGGACATTGGAGATGCCTGCAATAAGTGCAATGTTTTCCTACTCATCAAAGTTTTAAACCTTTGATGAAATTTTTCCTTCATTCCAAACAATAAATTTCTTACGAATGGGATAAGATTAAAAAAAAATCTCTGTGTTACTATACTGTAAATATAAATATAAGGGTAACTAACACTTTATTTGTACTTTTAAAAGTATTTTTATGGCTGTGGATTATTATGAAGGTTCTCTTCTTTTTATCTTAATTAGGTATTAATGATTACTTGCTCAACAGGAGGCTTTGCACTTTATTTAGTTGCTGCATATGGAAAAGGTTGTGAAAAGAACAACACAACACAACCATATCTGAAACCGGACTCTCTACACTCAATAATTTCATTCCTGGTATTGTAGTTGCATTGTATTTTGGTTTTGGACTGAAGCTGATACATTCCATGACCTAACCTTGTGATTTTGTGCAATTTTCCCCAAGACTATCTCACTGTACATAGTTTTAGTGTAAGTTTAGCTCAATTTTATAGGGTGGATAATTTTTTTTTAAAGCTCTATGGTCCTACTGCACCAGTTTTGTTACAAGGGCTTGCTAAGAATCGGGTATCTACAGAACTCTTGCTTAGAGTTTGCCTATAAATGAATTTTCTGTTAATAAAGCAGGTGGCTAGTGTAGATGCGAGAAAACTTTTGGGAGCAATAATGTCTCCAACCGTTGAGGGTTGAGATGAGTGATAATCTTTTGTTGAAAAGAATGAACCACAGGATGACTATTATGGGTTTGTGAATATTCCTGTCAGTGTCAGATTGTTACAAGGTAAACTACATGGACCTGATGTTTATGTGATAAGTATCAAGTAAGGGCGTAGCAAAGCAAAACTATTTGATACATCATCAGACTATTCAGAATTCATGTAACAGCTTTTTTTTACCATCAAACTTGGGTTAGGAATGTATTTTGAGGAAGTTCCCACTTGTTTAGCTTTAATTTGGAAATTACATAGCAAATATCTGCGATTTCTTTTTGAAATAGACTGTAGTGGAAGCTTGTGATTGGAATTCAGGCAACACGACTTAGGATTATAGTTAAAAAGGCAAACTATTAATAGTTCAAAATAATCCTTAGCATCGAGTTGTAGCATTTAAGCTATTTGTGTGTAACCATGGAGGGGCTCATGCATTTGCACTTAAGCACTGCTTTGGTCATTACCTGCTTGTAGAAGTCGCTTCAAGACCTATTGAGAGGAAAATCTGAAATCTGAGTGTTTGTTGCAAGTGATCCCATCCTTCTTCCACGACCATTCTTTCTTTATCTGAGTACACTGTTCCAATCTGACACCAGATGATAATGTTCAGGTCTCATTCTTGCACAGTTGCATTTTAAATTGCATTATTAATTGTTCTTGACTTATAGGAAATAAAAAACTTGTGTGACAGGCCAAGAATTTGTTTAACAAATTCTTTAACCTTGGGGTAAGAAGAAATTGTTAAAAATATTTTAGCGCTTTTATAAAGTTTTTGAAGGGTTGTGGGTGGCTTTTATTTTCACTATGAAGACTTCATGTATACATTAGTTTAGTCGCTTCTTTTGATTATTTATTTTACATACTAATGATTATAATACTTGATCAGTTCCTGCCATTGCTGGCAACTTTTGTACAAACACCCTTTTTCTTTTATACAGAACAAACTTTTATTTTACAATGTTTTCTTTGCTCAATTTTAATTTTTGTGCCATTTTTTTTTTTTTTGATATGTTATTAGGTGAAGGCTCTAATGTCACTGTAACTCTTAGCGCTATTTGAAATTATGGTTACTGTGGAATAGGAATTTTTTGCAAAGGCAAATAAAACCTTTAAAGCACAATATGCACAGTAGCATTATTTGTTTTCAAGTGGTTGATTCCATAAGTTTGGCTCTAAATCCTAGAATGATCTTCTACATAATATATTATGTTAGCTTCATCTGCTCTAATTTTACACTGCAGAACTCAATCCTCAAAGCCTCTAGTTGCATCTGTAAATTAACTATTTGAACAGATAAGTCAACCGCCTTTTTGAAAGAGCTTTGAGCAAGACGCAGATTCTGAGGTACAAGTACACCAAACCAATGTAGAGGATCAGAAGATGTGCGGCTATCACCATCGCACTCCTCCAACTCTCCAGCTTTTTCAGATTTCTGCTTCTTTGGAGGCTCATTGACAATGGAGGAAAACACATTGGTGTCTATGCCATTCTCTTGTGACACTGAACGTTGCACTTTCCGTAAAGCCCTGAATGGTTCACTGTCCTGTGTTGGCAGTTGAGATGTTGATACATTTCTTTGTCCCATTATGTACCTAGATTTAGCGAGGTTGATGGAGCCAGCCTTTATGTGCTCCTGCAACTTCAATTTTTGTTGAACCACTTGCTGCATGAGCTCCAGTGCCCGTAGGCCCAGGGAATCCAGCTTTTCTTCTCCTTCGCTCGCCGGGTAATTCTCTGAAGTTGCTGAGACCATCTGGCATACAAATGAACAGAAATTAATGAGGAAAGAAACTACATGATGGTTAAATAGGTGGAGTGTCATCACATGACATAACCTCAAATGTTTGAATCGAACTAAAGTTTTACCTCCGCTGACGTGTCTTCTTGTCCACAAGTTTGAAAGACTACCGATGAATATGAAAATGGGTGCAGTTCAAAGATGCGGTACTCGACACACTCGCACAACCAACGTCAGAGAGTCATCAAAACAAGCTGCAGACGACAAGCATCCAGACGAAGCGAACGAAAGCCGAAGCTGACACGAACGGGCTCTCCCTCCGAAGCCGAAGTCGGCTCCTTGCGGGGATGGGTTAAAATCGTTAATATGGTTCAAAGTTGAGACTGATTAAAGGGTGGCATACTTAAAGGCGTTGTAATTTGCCGTTGGCTGTTAATTATTCGTTCAATGTTGGCTGGTATTTATTGCAAAAGGCAGTGCGGGGACCTAACTTGTTCCTCCGAATGCGAGCGAACTATACTTGTGCGCATAGGCTCCTATTCGCACTACCACTGTGGTGCGAATAGACAACGGTAAGATAAAGGAAGCGAGCGCACAGACGGATAGACAGACAGACGAAATTCGTGGGGAGGAGAGGAGAAGGAGGAAGACGACGGCACGGCACACGGCAGTCGATGAGATACAGGTAGTGATAATACGGCCACTCCCTTGCTCTGGATATGTGTTTGTATTTTAGTGCGCCTCTGACAGTCTCTGATGGTGTTTCAGGTTAATCCCGTCTCGTTTACCTGCGTGAGAGATCGTTTGGTTTGGAAGCGGGTCAGGCATCGTTGGAGGTGTGGGCTGACTGACATCGAGCACCGGGTGGGTCAGAGCGAGCTGATTGGTACTTGACTCCACCTAGGGCCGAACCGAACCGATTCGGCCAGTGACTATCAAGATGAACGTGTCCCTAACAGCGTTCCGGGAGCCGCGCGGAGTGATGCGCATCCTGCAGTTTGTTTTCGCCATATGTGCCTTTGCCACCATCTCTGGTTACTCTGGGCAAGTGAATCTGTCTGCCTGTGAAAGCCCTACAACCACTTTTACCATTAGTTTCGGTTACCCATTCGCATTATCGGATGCCACACCCGCTAAAATTGCATGCCTAGCTCCTTCGGGAGGAACAGCACCACCTCCGGAATTTGTTTCCTTGAGGGGTGACTTTTCTTCGGATGCACAGTTTTTCGTAGCGTCTGGTGTACTGGCATTTCTATATTGCATGGGCATAGTTGTTGTGTATGGCTTATTTGAAGAAAAATATCAAAGCAATAATATGCTGCCACTTATTGATTTTGTTCTCACAACTATCCTGGCTGTGTTGTGGCTTTCAAGCAGTGCTGCATGGGCCAACTCTTTGACAAGTATCAAGTCTGTAACTGACGTTTCGTTTATTAAAAATGACTGTAAAATTTGTAAAGCTGTGTGGACAAATAGTTTTTCAAGCCTCAATATTTCTGTTTTGTTGGGATTCCTTAACTTCTTCTTGTGGGCTTCCGATCTCTGGTTCTTGTATAAGGAAACTCAGTGGTTTAAGATGAGGCAGGAAAGCGCTGGAGGTGTCTAGACAGTGTTTCCAATGAAGACCGTGTTTGCTTTTGTGAGTGTTGGGAGTTACAATCTGGTACGTTTGAGCTTTACATTAGGTATCCCTTTGACACTCACCTTTGCTTAATGTAGAAGGCTCTGAATAATTAAGGTTTGTTTAAGTTGTTTGTTCATGTCCTGTTATTCATGATTTTTTCTTAAAATCACAAGATTTGGAGATGTTTTTGTTAGATTCCCTGTGCTGTTATGAAGACATTAAAAAGTCTTTTTCTTTTGGAACTAAATTCAAATGATGACACCAGCATGTACAAGGCAGTAACATCTGTACTTAATTTCACAGATGTTGGACTATTCTGACATGTTTAATGTATTGCAGAAGAGATCATCTAATGTCTAAGATCTTTTTTACATTTTTTTTCTATTTTGTGGGTTTTAGTGTATATTTGCTAAAAGTTAAGATACTGAGCAAGCTTTAATAGGTGGCAAGAATATAAACTCTAGCACAAAATTAACAATAGCTGACCAAATTTACATGAATTAATTCTGCACAATTGTATGTTGCAGTCAGAGATCACCTGAAGGACACAATGAGAAAGTTGTCTTGCTGAGAAGCCATGTTTTGACTCTTGCTTTGTTGTGTGCACTTCTTTTAGATATCAAGTTTTCAAGTACTACCAATTTCTTTGGAAACTTTTAGACTTTTCAAATGGTTTAGATTATGTCTGGGAGTTGTATTTGATTAGAGTGTGGATTAAAAATGTAGCAAGATACTAGGATTTCAGTATTGTCTGTGTTAGGACAGTGCCATTGTGGTCCTTAATACTTTCCTCTATCATATTTCATCAAAAAGTAGGTGCCATGTGTTTTGTATACTTCCCACCTTATTATTTTTTTGAGGGAAGGTATGAAATAATTTTGTACCTTATTCTATTTTCTAATTGTTCTCTTTGTTAAATGTTTTGTTGATGTGTGAAAAATTGTGGAATAATTTTCTACAGTATTATCTTAAAAGCTATTTTAAATAATGGTGTGTTCTGCCCTTGCTAATGATTTGCAAATTTTTGTGATGGTTCTAGAGCTGAAGACTGAAACATGTTGATGCTTTGTAAAAATAAAATTTGAATTGATATGTGTTCTCCATTCCTTTGCAAACGGCACTTTGCATTATTTTTGACAATCATTGTTTTTTCTTTCTTTACCCAAAGTTATTCTACATATCAAATCAACCAGAAAAAAATATAATTTAACTTGCTTTGCAATGTGATAATTGGGTGTTGTCTTGTGTTCCAGAAACAAAGGTTGTGTAACTATATCCCAGTACCTGTTGACATTTTGAGAGCAGTTCGTCTCACTGTTAAATGTGTTTACTGGGGTCTTCTGGTAAACTGTTCAGAGCTCAATAATGTCAATTTATTTTGTGACTTTCTACTATCAAGTTGGTTGTTGAAATGAAATGGAGAATCATACTTGCAGACCAAAAGCTTCATCAGTGATCCTAAGTCGCTTTCATGGTGGGCACAATTTTGTTATCTTTTGTTTGTAAGATGTCATGTTAAGATTTTTGCAAAATGTTAAGTTAATTTTGGTTTTTCCCTGTAACCAACAGTTACTTGTGTTTGGAATTTCTTTGCATGCCAACCTTCAGGTGGAGTGTACCTTTTTCTTCTATAATTGTGGCTAGTGTGTGAAAAAAAATGTAGAATTGTTCGGCTACTAGTTATTTTCTCTCTGTAAAGAAAAACTTTTGTAGTTCTTAGCTTGTAAGTTTTGAGAAGAAAAGGAAGAAAGAGCAGTCTTTAGATCACTTGTGTAGCTTATCGACTAATAAATTAAATACTTGTTGATGGTCTTTTCATTTTGCGTTCCCACCTGTTCAGTGGGCACGACCACGCCATGTCATCGCTCTAGCTTGGGGTGTCCCAAGAACTGAGGGGACGGCGCGGCATGTTGAGCATGACCACGCACGCGTCACGCAGCACGCAGTCTCCGTTCGGCCTCGCGAACGGTGCCTTGGGAACTGTTCCCACAGAGGCGCCCTGCCCGACCAGGACCAGAGCCGGCTGACCGAAACGACGTTTATTCGGCTTTGGGTCGCTTTGGGTTCGTCAGGGGCTTGAAGTCAACTTTGAGGGAGCGGGGGGACGACTTTTGGACACCCTTATGAACGAGTCTCTTAGTTTTCGCTCTGCACGGCTCAGGCCAGGGCAGGATAATTATCGCCTTATCTGGCGAGATAAGCCTGAATCTGACTCGCGGGCCGCGAGCATGCGAGCAAAAGCCGCAACCTCGCCCAACGGAAGGCAACGCGCCGCACAGGCTCCAAGTCGTCGAAAGAAAACTTTATAAAAGTGAACCATTTGGTGTTGAAGTTGTTGCGCGTGTTTGGGCAGGCGCAAGGCGTTCTCGTCGCCTGTGACGCGCCGCGGCGAATCACATTCAGCCACAGTCATGAAGGACCATCGTTCTGGTCGGGCCCTGCCATGGCCCTGCAGTGCCGCTGCTTCCGAACAGTGCCTTGTCGCGCTCGTCGTTCCAAGTCTCGTCTCACTCCTGCGGACACGGAACACCCCCTGAGTGCGAGGGAGAGAGAGACAGCGGTGGCGGGGGCACTTTCCGGAATGAGCGCTGTATCGCCGTGTATCACACAGCTCGCGCCGTTCCGTTCGCTATCGCGCTAGATAGAGCCGTGCCGGCGTCGAGGGTGCTGCTCAGATAGTCTGGCTCGGCCTCTCTGCGCGGACGACGATGACGACGACGTATGCCGGCCGCGTCACCACGCTCACTGCACTGCAGCCTGCGGCAGCCCCTCTGACCCGACGACACGCCCATCCGGCGACGTCATGTCGGCACGGCCTGGCACGGCGACGCGTCCAGCTCCAGCCCGCGGCGTCGCGACGCCCTCCCCGCCGCCCCGTGCCCCGCCACGCTTCGCTACGACGCGGACGCTGCTGGACGCGGCGCAGGCTGGGCGCCTCTGGCTGGGCGCAGGCCGGGCGCAGGGCCACAGCCACGGTCTCGGTTCCGCATGGCGGAGCGGCGAGCCGAGAGGCAGCGGCAGCGTGCCCCGCACCTGTGGCGGGTGGGTGGCCTATCTGGCCGGCGTCCCCCGCGTCTGTCGCCGTCACGGTGCACTGCACTGCGGCCGGTGCGTCGGAGAGAGAAAAGGGGGGCGAAAGAAAGGCCTAGAGTTAGCTGAGGCGCGCCTCGCCTGTCCGTCGAGGACGAGGGGCCGTGGCGCCGAGCCCCCAGCCTCCCCACGCGAGCCCCAAGCGGTGGCGGTCCGGCTCGCCCTAGCTCGCCCCCGACGGGGCCCCGCTGAGCGCCCCCACGGCCCCCTTTGTGTGGGCGACGGCGACGCCATAGCCAGCGCCACCACTGCGGGACTGCGGGGGCTTGCACACCCCTCCCCACGCGCGAAAGGGGAGGGGAGGGAGGGGAGGCGTCTGGGCTGGGGGAATTCATTCGCCACCAGGTTCTCTACGGGTGGCGTCGCCTCGATTCCCCGCGCACTTCTGTTTTCAATCTTGCGCGCGGCGTGGGGCTCAACTCCAGCAACGCCAGGCGGCCAGGCTGCCGGCCCGCGCTGTGTTCGCTGTGACGGGCTCGGCATTGTCTCCTCCCGGGGGCTGGCGGCGTCTCAGGGAGCGTCTCAGGGACCTGCCTCCCTCCTCCCTGGACCCCCTGGAGGACTGGCATGCCCCGCGGGGACGAGGGCGACGGGGCGACGCCCCACGGCGGGTAGGGAGTAGAGACCGCGGTCCGCGGCCCCAGGCTGCAGCACGCTGCAGGCAGCAGGCTCCGCTAGATGGCCGTCCTAGCCGTCCTAGGGTGCGTTTGACCTTGCCCTTCCCTGGCGTTTCAGGGTCGATAGTTGAAAAGGGAGGGAAGGGCCCCCGCCGCCCCGCCGCCATGGCGAGGGGGGGGGGGGGGGCTGCGTGGGACGCGCCGTGTTTTGGCAGGAGCCGGCCGGATGCGGCGCCACGCGGAAGGAGGAACCGGAACAGGTGCCCGGCGCGCCTGCTTGTGTGTGTGTGAAATGGGACTCACGCAAAAGAGAACCTTGACGCAGAACATCCGCGAGTGAACTTCGCGCTGTGCCACGCACCCAATGCTTTCGCTGGGCGTCTCCTCGCCTTCCTTCCGTACGCCCTGCCGACTGATTCTGCGAGTCGTCTCCTTCAGAGAACCAGAGCGACGAAAACGACTTTCGGAATCAGTCTTCTGTTTGCCCTTCTGTACTTGCTGGGGGTGCTGAATTGTCGCGGCGTCGCGCGGCTTGCGTCGTGGAGGGTAGAATCCTTCGGTAGCTACGGCTCGGACGCGCACCGCCAAGGCCTTTCCAGGACCTTCCACGTGGCGCGAAGTGCCGTCTTTGTCTGACCCGACATGAGGACTCGGCTCTGCCGCTCTGCGGTCGGAAGTCGGAAGGGGTGCCGAGCTGAGCCGAGGGCTTCGCGGCCGTTCCAGAAGCAGCAGACACCAAACGCTTGGTGCAAGCGGTGCAAGGGGCGAATCATTTCTTCAATGCAAATTGCGGCCTCAAGTTCTATTCCAAGGAGCAATTTCCACCGTAGGTCAAGAATGAAAACATTCGAAGCATCTGATGGTGTACTCCAACAAACTGGACAGCAAATCGAAACAATTATGCAACTCGCCGCCGCCGGCAGCCAAACGTCTAACGCGGGCGATGGTCAATGATGATTCCGCCCAATTTCCAGCTCGGCTGGAGCGACTAAAAGTCTAAAAGTGACACCGGGCCGTGGCGGCGCGGGCGGCGCCCGGGGGAGGGGCGGGAGAGGGAGGGTGGGGCGCATCCCCGCCCCGCCTCCCCGCTTCTGCCCCGGTCGCCCTCCCCGACCCTCCCCGACCCTCCCCGCGGGCTGCGGCCGCGCCATGTAAATCGATCCAGCAGCCCTCTCTCTCGCTCCGCATGGCTCCGGCCGCCCGGCGCGGCTAGGCAGGCTAGGCGCCCCGGCAGTGCATCGCGGCGTCTCTCTTTCTCTTTGGCTTCGCCGCTTCGCCCGTCCGTCCGCCTCATTCGCAACAAACTGCGTGTGTCGTTTCCGCCGCGGAGGCAGCCAGAGGCATGGCAGAGGACTCGGGGAGGAGGCGCGGCGGGGCTTGGCAGCCACGGGCAGGGCCGTGGTGGCCGCGGGCAGGGACTCGCGGAGCCTCCTGCACAGAGCGGAGGAAGGCTAAGGCAGGCCACCTCTTTAAGGGCAGAAACGTCGTTAATCTCGCGAGTGGACACGGCGGGGGACGCTCGCGGCGGCGGCGTTGACCCGCCCGTCCTGCCAGCCCCCCCCCCACACACGCGCCACCACACACCCACACACACACACACACGGTGGCGCTCCACCGCGTGATGCTGCAGAGGCCGGGGGGGGGGGGGCTCGCAAGGCTCGCCGGGCGGCGCGTTGTTTCCGATAAAGACCCACGCCGGAGACTCCCCTTCCCCTCCCACCTGGGCCTTGCCTTCAGTCCGGGGAGAGGCAGCTGCTCTGCGCCGCGGCGCGCTCGGCGCGCCGGAGAGGTGCCATACCGAGTCCGGGCTGGGCCTGGCTGGGCCTGGCTGGGCGCGGGGCCCCGGGCCTCGGCTTGGGCCCCACGCAGCCAAGCAGCCCGTGGCGTGGCCGGCGTGGCCGGCGTGGCCGGCGTGGCCGGGCCGGCGTGGCCAAACCCTTTGTGCCCGTCGGAGAGTCTGAGCCAGCCGGCCGGCGGCCGCGGGAGTGACCGGGCGGGGGGGGGGGGGGGGCAGGGGGGCGGGACCGGTTTACACCGAGCTTGCACTGCGGAGACGGGCCGAAGGACCCCCAGGACCCTCGCTTTGAGCACGCAGCAGTGTCCGCAGCGACAGCGCGAAGTGCGCCTTTTTGGCCCGAGGGCGGCAGGCGGATGGCAGGCGGTACGTACGCCGAGATGGAGAAAGATAGACAAAGCCCCGTCCGCGGCAGCGCGGCAGCAAGAAGCAAGGCTCCTCGGAGCAAAACTCCCGGCCGTTGTGCCCCGCCAGCCCGCCGCGCCAGCCTGCCAGCCGCGCCGGAGCAGCCAGATGAAGCACCGCGAGAAGCTCAAGCAGTGCCGCGGGAAGCATCGCGAAGCCGCGGAGCAATGCGAGAGACGACCGTGAAAACAACGCGAGCGAGCGAGAGGGAGAGAAGAGAGATAGAGTGGAGAGGGTGGAGAGGCGCGAGGGGGTGGAGCGGACGCGTGCGCGAGAGAGAAGGGGCCAGTCAGGACAGAGAGAGGGCACATCCACATCGGCTTCGGCAGCTTCGGCTAGGGTCGGCCGCGTTCGGCTCTAGGCTCGGCTCGGCTCGGCTGCTCGGCCGGTCCCCCTCGGCTGTGCCGCTGCGCCTCGGTGAAGGGGCAGGGGGTGGGGGACAGGATGGGCGGCGGTGAGGCGGCGCCGCGAGGGGAGGAGGGGATGGCGGTCGGCCACGAACGAAACGGACGGGAAAACGGACGTCAGTCGAGAAGGAGCGCGCTTCAGGAGCGCACGTATCACATTGGGGACGAGGTCGGTCTTGCTGCCAGCGGCTCGCTCCGCGCATCGCCGCGCACCGCCGCTAAGTTTGTTTTCGAACAACGCAATTCCGTGCGACCGCGAGTCCGCGCCCCGCCTACCTGCCAGGGGTCGTGCCGGCCGCTCCCCGAGTCCGCGTGCGAGCAGTGAGTGCAGTGAGTGCAGAGGGAAGTGAGTGGCTCAGGAAGTGCGTCGTACGTCCGGAGTGCCGCTAGTGTGCCGCTAGTGTGCCGGCCCGGAGGCCCAAGGATTATAGACGGCCCCTCGAAACCTCCGGCAGCGAGCACCAGAGTGTCAGCTCGCGGCACCTTCGGGGATGAACTTCTGCGTTGACGGGCTGCCCCCGGCCCCAGTGGCCCCCGAGGCCCGCGAGGCGCGCGAGGCCCCCGCAGCGGCGAGCGCAGTGGCGCCGGCCTCGCGCCACCATTCACCCCTCGTCGTCGGCACCATGGGGCGGCCCCGGTGCGCAGAGTAATCTGGCGTACTGCTACGTGACAGGTGAGTCCGGGTGCTCGGTGCACTCGGTGCCCGTCGGCGCCGGCGTAAGTACACTACGTGGTGCGCGGAACGTGCACGGCGGACCTGCGTGCCAGCGGGCGTGGGCGGCGTGTCCGCGTCGGCGCCGTCCACGCAGCAGGCTGTCATGTTGGTCGCCGCCTCGCCGCCTCGCTTCGGCGACACAACAGAGCAGTGCTATCGCGCGGGACGTGCAAATACGTCCCAACTTCCTGCCGGCGCCGCCGTCCCGACGCCGTCCCGACGCCGTCCTAGGAGGTGCGCAGTACGCCCGAACGCTCAGGAAGTGACTGGCTTGGGTCGTGGTCTTCGAGGCAGTTCATAGCGCCAGTGGTTTTCCAGAGTGCCAAAATCCGCCGGCCGCCTGGTTTCGCAGGCAATCCAATCCCGTTCCCGCAAGCGCCAAGTCGTGATCCGTTCCTCGGCCGCGTTGCCCGATCCCCGTTGGCGGACCTGCGGCAAAGGGGCAAAGCCGGCAAAGCGAGCATTCAATGCCCCGTCCCGTCCCCCATTCATCCGAATGCTCTGCGAATGCGCCCGTTTCCATCGCGCTGTGTGTCTCGCACCTGCACGGTACGCCCTATGGGTGCGAGAGAGGCGGAGCGACGGAGAGGACTCTCGGAATCGGTGTGCTGCCGGAGGGGGCGCGGCGTATCGCCGATTGGTCTGCCCCTTCTCGAACGCCGACAACGCCGTGGTCGCGGTGGTGTTGCCGGCGCAGCTTCGCGTCGGACACAGTCGGACACTCGGACGAAACACACACGAAACACGGCGCCGCCGCGCCTCTGTGAACCCAAACGGCGGGCTTCACAGCCGCTTGTCCCCACTCACCTGCACTGTATCCGCTCTGTTCTCCAGCGTCCCAAACTTCAAAGACCACATCGCTAATCGATTGGCCAACACGGAGTGCCCGGTTCGGTCGGTCCGGTCGGCGTGGATGGGATGCCGCCGTCCCCCCGCAGCCCTCGGCCCCACGGCCCCACGGCCCGCAATCCGCATTAGTCGAGCGATTCAGAAGAGCGGTTCGTCGCTGTCTCTCTCGCGCCATCGCGTCCGTGTGGAGTGCCCCATGAGTGCGACAGAGACAGGGCGCTTCTGAATCGCTCGTCTGCCCGCGGTCCGCGTGGGTGGCGGCGGCGTGGCGGCGCGGCGCGCTGAGCCGGCCGTGCCGGGGCGTGCCCTGTGCCGCGACGGGGGTTGCGGCCACTCCAGGCGGGGCTCCAGGCGGGACTCCAGGCGGGGCTCCAGGCGGGACTCCAGGCGGGGCTCCAGGCGGGACTCCAGGCGGGGCTCCAGGCGGGACTCCAGGCGGGGCTCCAGGCGGGACTCCAGGCGGGGCTCCAGGCCGCTCCAGGAAGGAGGAGGGCAAGGACCTCCGCGGCCCAACGGCACCGCGATCGCGTCCCGAAAGGACGCGGGCTCGGCGCGCACTGTTTGCAAAACCGCGAGCCGTCCGAGCGTCCGCGGCGCCGTCTGGTAGTGAAGTGTAGGCAGTGTAGGCAGTCGACAGTCGGCCGCAGGCCCGCAGGAACAGTGTGCGCGAAGCCCGGCGAGGGACTTGCCGTTCAGTCTCCCTCAGAGCGGCGCCCCCGTCTCTCTCGCGCCCCCACGGCCTGCGGGCCGCCCCAAGGGTGCGAGAGGGACAGAGGAGTCTCTTTTCGGTCGAATAAACCCCCAGCTTCCTGCACACTGCAGCACAGCGCTGCGATCTGGCCTGGGTGCCCCGCGCTGTACCGCCGCCGTGCCCGCGACACGCGACCGCCACGTACGTAGGTACTTCCGATGAGCGCAGTTTTTGTTGTCGGAAGCCGAGCCAAGCCGAACCGGCACACAACAACCTGCACGACAAAGCGGCGCGGAGTTCGAGTTCACGAACGGAAAGTTCGGGGGAATGGAGCACTTTGTCATGTTTGTGCGTGCGCGCGTCCGAAAAAAAGCTACGATTGTGCCTCAAATTCAGGACAGCGTTCTCCGCGTGGAGTTTCAGAGCTCTGCATTGTCACCACCGCTCGATCGGCCCGCGCGGTGCGCGTGCACAAGCAGAAGCAGCAGAAGAACGGACAATGTCCGAAATGACGATCGCTATGAGAAATCTAGGCGGCGGCCGCGTAAATTTCTCGCTGAAACTTCCGTTCCGTACTTCCGGTTTTTGTTCTTCTTGCTCGTGCACTCCGGGCTGCCCCGTCGGCCGCGGGCCATCAGTGAGCGTCTCTGTTGAAGACTGGTGGGCGTCACTCCGAGAGCCTCGCGCGTTACGAGTCCCACTGTCTTTGCGCCTAGGCCGCGCAGCCGCGCGCAGCAGTCGTGCATTTTCTCCGCTGTATATTATTTCGCTATCGGGATCGCGGCCGTCGTAAATTCGGTCGGGACTAGACTTGACGTCCTGCGGGGCGGTGCTGGAGCGCGGTGTGCTGCTATAGAGCGTGCTGTAGAGAGCGCGGTTTGCTAGAGCGCGGTGTAGAGCGCGGTTTGCTAGAGCGCGGTGTGCTAGAGCGCGGTGTGCTAGAGCGCGGTTTGCTAGAGCGCGGTGTAGAGCGCGGTTTGCTAGAGCGCGGTTTGCTAGAGCGCGGTGTGCTAGAGCGCGGTGTGCTAGAGCGCGGTGTGCTAGAGCGCGGTGTGCTAGAGCGCGGTGTGCTAGAGCGCGGTGTGCTAGAGCGCGGTGTAGAGCGCGGTGTGTAGCGCGCTGCTGCGCGGACGGAGGAGCGTGCCTTCCCTGAAGAAGGCTGTAAAAGATGATGACGATGATTGCAGAAACGAGCCGTGGGCGGGGAGTGGGAGGGAAAGGGGTGTGTGCCGCCGAGGGGGCCGAAAGCACCGCGCGGACCGACACGGGGAGGAGACTTTGGCGGTTCCCCACTTTTAATTAACAAGTATCAATGCGACTGAGGGGAACTGCACTGTGTGCAAACATGGCAAGCGGACCCGGATGGAAATAGGATGGATCCCAGAGCGGGACGTGAAATCGCCGTGAGAGATCGACGAGTTTATCGCCATGGACAGGAAGTTCGGAAATTGTCAAACCTCCGTTCGCGAAGTAGATTTATCTTCCCAAGCGGCGTTTCCAGTTAAGATAGAGTTTTTTTGTGAGCTGTGGGGTTGAGTATGACCTATCGGTTCGATATTTGGCGCGGGTAGTTCGTCAGCGGGCGAGGCGGCGAGGCGCGGTTGATGAAATGGCCTTTGGGTGACCGTGCTCGCCGTCGTCCGTTCTCGCAACACGTCCGCAGTCGGGGCGACTCTTTGGAAAAGAACAACACGTGTGTGGGTCCTGTGGGAAGACGCTTACATCGCGGACGTCGCTGTGAAATCAGAGGGAAATGTCGGGGACGCCGCTCTGTCTCTGTCGCACTCATGCGGGGCGCCTAATGAGTGCAAGGGAGCTAGACCGATGCTCTCTGCTGTGAGACGCGGCGGCTTGTCGGGCAATTGGAATGCTCCCGCATGGCGAGCATGGCGAGCATCGCGGCCTCGGGTTCGGCGTGCGCGTGCGCATCGGCCAGAAGATGAGTGGAGGCGGCCAAAATTCTAGACGCGTTTTTAGCTCCAGAGTCGCTAAATGAGACTCGAACTGAACGTGTGACCCCACCAATGGATTGCTCTCCGAACGAGGAATCCATTGGTGGGGTCACAAGTTCGGTTCGAGTCCAAAACCCGTCTTGAATTTTGGCCGCCTCCACCGGTCCTCTGGCCCACTGTGAGATGGAGCGCTACACTGGTAGAGGCCAGGCCAGAGGGTGTGGGCTTCGGCCAGCCCCGCATGGAGGGCCTCGAACCACCACCAGGGAACCCCCGCTGACCCGGTTGACCCTCATGATGGTCCCTTTCTGCACCAGTCCGTCCGAGTTCATCATTGGGGTGTCACGACGACTAATGAGCTTCCTGGTGGCACAGCCCTTCGCCGCGTCCCGAAAGAAGGCGAAATAACAACCAGAAGGGACTGGATCGCGTCATTTTTTGCAGACGACACTGTAAGAGCGCGGTGACACAGTGACACGGACGCGTCTCACAGTGTTGCGTCACGTCGTACGGCTTTACGTCCATCAGGAAGCGTGGCCTCTTTTGTCTTTTTGCGGTGTGCACCCTATTGATGTGGCCGGCTTCCCCTTCCCCGTTCAGCCCTTCCCTCCCCAACCATCAAATATGGAGACGATATGCCAAAGCCCTACACTCTCCAAGACTTGTGGTCAAGATTCTCCAGAACTAAACCGGACGGTATGAGAAGCCCAAGAAGCATTGTATGTAAAATTTTTGAAGAAATGCTTCGTATTTTGAAGCTCATTTGCCACGAAGCGATTTCACAATGCCTTCATTTTCTTTTTAGTTATGAAGCTGATGCTTCGTAGGCGTATATGTGTTTGGTGCAACTATGATTATTCAACTTACCTCTGAAAATTTATTTCACCCCATGGATATTCTGTCGATTTTCTTTCCTTTTATGGAGAAAATCTTCGGCGCTGGTGCAGCTGCTTTCGGTCAGAGAAAAGTTTAGCATGGGTCCTTGGCCATGACAAAGCATAGGCTGAACGGAAAAATAAAATAAAGGGTCTCTCAGGCAATAAGTTTAGCATGGCTAAAATTTCGACTCGGGAGCCTTTCATCGTTAGACATTTAAAATGTACCCTCGCCTCATCCAATAGTGATGGTGCGCCCCTTCCGTGCGGCTCCCGACGCCTCCCTCCAGCGGACAAGGGGCGGATCGCGGAGCTTTTACAACATTTCAAACGACTTTCGACCAAGTTGGGTTAGTTCGTTGAAGGGCCGATTGGACAAACGCCCAACGAAATTGGCGAAAATGCGATTCAGCCGTACTCGAACCGTGAACCCTGAACTGTGAACCCTGGTCGATCGACGGGAACAGGAAGGGAGTGGCGCGTCGGGTGAGCAACAGGTTGCCTGCCTCGCCCGGCGGAAGGTTCTGGACGCTCCCTTTCCGTGGCAAACCGCCCCCGCCCCTGGCCACGCCCCGCCACGCCCCGCCACGC